GGAGCCACTGGCATAGACGCCGCGCTCAGCTCCCACACAGAGCTCGAGGAATCGCCCTTTGTCCGTGCTTCCACCACGAATGTCCACAACTCCCCTCTGGAAGCACCGACTGCCGCCTCAGGAAGAGACGCCCGAGGCTGAAGCAGAGCCGGGGGAAGCGGTGCAGGGATTCCTCTCGCAAGGGAAAATTTCCCTGTCCGGCGGCCAGCAAAGCTGCTGAGCCGAGGCAACTCCGCTTTCATTCCGCCGGACCCACGCTCCGGCCTCGAGCATCCAGCGCACAGCCCAGGCGCCAAGGCAAGAGGTGAGAAGCGGGCCTCAAACCTGAGATTCCCAGTTCTTCCCAGTCCCACACACCAGTTTTCCAGATAACAGGAGCCTCTGGCGAGCCCCTGCTGCACACAGGGCTGAGGGGAGGGAAAGGAAAAGCTGGAATTTGAATGTTACGGCAGGAAGTTCTCCAAGTAACTCAGGTTTGAGCGGGTTTGGTTTGGGTTTTTTAGCAAGAGGACTGGTTTTCTGCAGGAAGCACACCGCAAGTCTGAACTACACCACAGTACCAGGTTTCTGCCACGTGTTTTACAGTATTTTTATTTTGGGGCAAAAGTTTTACAAGAGAAAGTCCTGTAAGGCAGATCTAGAATGCACATTTTATTTACGTAAAAAAAAAAAAAAAAAAAAAAAGCAGCCAGACATGGGTAAGGGAGACAAGAACTTTTTATATTCTGACTATACAATAATATTCCTCTTTTTATCCACTGCCACACTACTATCATGGATTCTGTTCTAGTCTAGTTTTAAGGTTGTCCAGTTAAGTTGTCTGAAGATTCTTTAAACAAGTTGACCTTTACCTATTTAGAGTTTCTTCTCAGAAACATTCATATATTATACAGGATATACAGATTTTTGAAACAAGACACTTAAAAACACACACAACTATAGCCGCAACACTATCATAGCTGCATTGTAGTGATTACGTTGTTCAGCCAGCTGTAGACTCTGTATGTACAATTAGGTTTTATAGTGTTATTTACATAGATGGACTAAAAGCTATCTTTAATCTAAAAGGTAAAGGCTCTTGTGTTTAAGTATGTGCAGTTTCATAGCCCTGTGGGGAAAAAAAAAAAAAAAAAAAACAACAAAAAACCAAACCAAACACGACAATTATATACACTGTAAACAGCACAAGGCATGAGAATCTCCTCCTACCCCAAACAACCTCGCAGGAAAGTGTATGTGCACTAATATTCCTCTTCCGCTTCGGCTCCCGCTCCTCGGTTCTTCTTATGAATAGCGCGGTTAAAGCTGTGGCAGGCAGGAACCCAATGATTGTCATGAAGACCTAACTTACAGCCCGGGATGCCCTTCTGGGACCGGTGACAGCACATCCAGTACCCAGGCCCGTAGGGTAAAGCTTGGCAGTATGGTTTGGGATGCCACCGGCACAGCGATACGTCCCCTTTCACGTACTTCTTCTTGCACTGCTTGCAAGGGTCTTCTCTGTAGCGGGGATCGCGGACCCAGCGGGAGTCTGCTGGCCTGATGTTGTAGTACTCAATGATGAATTTGAAGTAGTAGCAAGTGCATTTTAGGGCAACCAGACTCCTAGTAGGAAGCAATCCAAAAATCTTCACTATGATGTGGTGAGGCAGGAAGGCCATATACTGCTGAGGCTCCAAAAGCTGCTGAATTTTAAACCTGGTCTCCAGAAAGTCATGCGAAACCTGCTTTTTTAGGCAGGAAGCATCAAGTACTTGCAAAGCCCCTTCTGTCGGAGGAACGGAAAGGGCAGATGGCTCTGTAGGGACACGGTTTCTGGCACATGATCTGCCAGATGCCAAAGCATCCTCATCCTCATTTTGGGCTACTTCTCCCGGCTTTTCTCGGGTACTTTCCCGTAGCGGCTGTTGCTCGTGAGCGGCGGGCTGGTCAGCCTGGAGAAAAAACAGCCTCCCTGGGAGCGGGTCTTCACTAGAGCTGGAGAGCTTCTCT